CTTTTATGTGTGTTGTTGGTCTGAGTTGTTGTGTATATATAGGACAATCAAATTGGGTTAACAAAACTGGAAGGAATCATGACATTAATAGGTGAAGATTTTGATAGAAAATTTGTATGGAAACTTGTTATTTTTGGCTCAATATTGCAACAATCAACCTTGCAAGAATTTGGCAGCTTGCATATGTAATCTTGGGCCTTAAATATGATCCATAGCAAAGCCCACATGTCTTAACCTATTGATCTTATATTTTATTTAATTTATTTTAGATTTAATTGAATAAAAATCAAAATAAATAAAATAAAAATAAAACATAATGCATTAATGGACTTATGGATACTTAAACATGTCATGAACACGTTTGGATCTGAAAACTTAAGCCCAATAGCCCAAAATAAAAAGCTTGCTCACTTTGAACTTCATGCATTCTCTCAAAATTGCCCAACTTGCAATGGTCATAACTCTCTCAATTTTCATATTTTAAAGGTGATCTTGGATGTTTTGGAAATATAAAGGTTTCCCCTAAAATCTCTATGTTTATCATTTTTGCTTTTTAAGAATTTATCTTGACGTAAGTTGCCTTGACAAAAAGTGTCTTTTTGTTAACTTTTGAAATGACTTGTAATGTATTGGCTTATATCTCTCAAATGATGAAATTTTGGACTTGAGCTTAGAGAGACAAAGTTGTAGAGAATTGAATTACCTTCAAAATGGGCTTTGGTTTGGGAATAGTTGATGAAGCGTGTGAAAGTTATGCTTGGTCAAAGTTTAGTTAACTTCTCCTAAGGAAACCCTAATTTGGCAACTTTTGACTTTTGATGATTTGAGGGATTTTCTTGAAGAATCATGATAAACCCTTAATCAAATGATGAATATGACTTCAAAATATTTATGTTAACCAAAAATCTTGAGGTTTTACTGTATGTTGACCACAGTTGACTTTTTACCCAATATAGTTGATTTTTAGTCATCTGAGCCATTGCCTGAGCAAACTTGTGATACAAGGCTTAAAATTTGACATGAGCCTTCTTAGGGACATATGAAGAATCATGAAAACCATTTGAGACCTTGGAAACCCAATCTTCCTTGAGAAATACAAAACCTTAATTGTGGATCCATTGCTTAGGAGGAGAATTTGTCTGATCAATTCTTAGGCAACCTTAAGCAAATGAGGACCTTAGGAGAATGTCTTGAATCAAAATGAGAGGGAAATTTTGGGGTACAACAGGAACATACAACTTGATTTTTGATTACCTTTCTACCCTTTCAACGAATTTCTTTTACAAGCTATAAAAGGAAGACTTGGAAGCTAAAGAAAAGTAAGAATCAACATTACAAAGAAAAATCTATGGATTAAATCAAGCTCAACAAAACTACACCAAAGCTCTGTGCAACTCTTTAGAGAAATCTTCTGTGTATATTTTTGTAAATAGGAAAGGAGTTGTTGCTCGTATCTTGTTGTAAAACACTTAGGTGTCTTTCTTTATATTGAAATGTTTGTGTAATCTGCTTAAAAGAAGCAAACAGTAATACACTGAAAGTATTCAACGATTTTTGATTGATTCCTTGAGAGACCAAGTGATGGTCTGATCTCAAGAAGACTCTTGATATGGTTTGAGTGGATTTACAATAAGGATCAACTGACTTACTGGGGGTGCCAATAAAGTTGATCTGACTTATTGTGGGTTGGTTGTAATCGGTTTGGTTATAGTAGATTAAGTCCTTGTTGAAGGCAAATTACCTTGAGAGGTGGACTGAAGTAGCTTAGTTAACAGTGAACCAGGATAAAAATAATTGTGTTCATTTATTTTTATGTTCTAAGTTAACTTGGTCTTTCATCAACTAAAAATATTTAAAATTATTGTGGTGAAAACCAATTCAAACCCCTTTTCTTGTTTTTCTCACACCTTCACATTATTTTTGCTTAATTTGACTGAAAATAGAATGCTAGTGAATTGCTATAAATTAAAAATAAAGTGGTGTTTGTTTCAAGTATATAAATTCATTTTATTGATTCATTTATTCCATAAGGCTTGTTGCACATCTGAGTTCCAATAACTAGGTTTATATAGACGACTTTTATCGATCTATATTAAAACCTTCCGCTTGCACTCTTTTTAAATAATTTTTTAAACTTCAATTTTGATTGGTAATTTTGGCTTGGTGATCTATTCATCCCCCTCTAGATAAGTCACTGTCGTCTAACAAATATTTCACTATCTTGCAATCCATCCTAATGATGCGTACGAGTTAGGATTAGGGTAAAATCTATTTCAGGAGTGCTTTTGTAGTAAAATCTATGTATTTTATCCCTCAGTTACTAAGAAAAACAGGGATAGATAATTTAGTTTACAATTAAAAATATAATAACAAGAATGGTTCCTGAATTATTTTTCCCTCCGTTATTAAAAAATCCAAGGTAAGATGTGGTTTTATTTCTAAAATGTGGCGCTCATTGGAATAATATCACTAGAATATCAATGATCATCCATATTCAAAGCGTAACGTATCTTTTGGATTTGCAAGGAGCCTTTTGAGCTATTTAAACACTATTCTCATTTCCAACGTCTCATTTCCAACTCTTTGGGTCATCAAACCTAGTTTCATAGTCTTTTCTTTTATTAAAAAATGGATAAAAATCTTTTGTTCGCTATCAATGAAAAGTTTATTGTTTTTGATGATTTAAAAGACAAAGGTTTTGATCTAAGACATTTTTATCCAAACAAGAGTTGAATGGTTACTTTGACATTCTTCATGGCTCAATCTACACTAATCTCGTTAAAGAGTTCTGCTTAAATACCTATATTGTGTCATCTGGTCATGATTCTAAGTCTATCCAGTCCTATGTCAGTGGCTCTCCTATCACCATTACTCCATCACTTATTGCTAAGACAATAAACTATAAAGATATAGATAGTTATGTTGAATATTATAGATTCAACAATGTCTACTCAACCCGTTTTCACCTAATTTATGCCAACAAAGATAAGTCCACCAGTCCTGCTACTCTACTCCCAATTACAAAAGTTTTGTATAATTTTCTAGTGTCAAATCTTTGTCCAGGAGAGGAACGACTGGAAACACTTACTTGGGATGACAAATATCTCTTGTACTTCCTTACCTGCAACGTTAGTGTTAATCTTTAATATTCCTCTTATCATTTTTAACTTCTTAAAGGAAATGATAATCATCTCTCAGGAGAAAATGACTTTCATCATATCATATGAAAGAGTTCTTTCTGAAATTTTCTCTCAGTTAGAGATAATTAATAGTGATAATGTTAAAGTTGAGTGGAGTTAGAAGTTTGAACACGAGGAATAGTTATATGTTGTCCTATTTTTTATTATAAATGAAATATTTCTTTTTTTTTTATTATTTCCTATTATTGTTTATTGATAACAAAGATTTTGAGAATACAAAATAACAAAGAAAAACATGGAATCTGGAAAGACGCCAAGTGAAAATTCATTGAAAAAACATTAAATGTAGTAATAGGAATTCAAAGTGAGATCCCTTATAATTATATTCTCTCGGTTTTCCAAAAAAAAAGAAAATAAATTTATTAATTTTTATGAATAAAGCATGGCGCTCACATAGTTATGTTACCTCGGTTTTTGAAAAAACTGAGAGAAAATGTTACTTTTTTAATTAAAAAAATCAAACACGACGCTCTCAGAACCTATACAATCGGATTTTAACATGTTCGAGGTGAAAGTTTTGTCAAAAAAATATTATTTGTAGTAGTGATGTCTTGCTAGCCTCTTTGAGCCTTATCCTTTTATTTGTGTTACAAAATGAATTATAAGCTCTTGACCTAAATACTTTCTATTACCTTCATCTAATTGGAGTTAGGTAGTAATAAGAAAAATCATAATCAAAATTTATAAAATTTTCATACGTTTGAAAAATGTCAAGTATGAGTGAGAGGATGGCAAAAGAAAAAAAATACGGTGGGGTGTTGGTGGTTTACTGTTGAATAGAGGTTTCTTTCCAGTGACGAAAAACGAGAACTTTTTACACCTCTCTCTAACATTGTTTTTTCATGTACAACCACGTATATATGCATGTTATTCTAACCAGCTGAGTTGCTAGCTTTCAAAAATTACATATTAAATTATCTGAATAGAACTTATCTAATTTGTTTAATTGCTTGTTAGTCTTTTAAAAAGATATGTCAAACTGCTAAGTTAACAACCAAGGCAGATTTTAAGAAAGTCAAAGTCAAACCTATATCTAAGTCTCTGATAAAAAAATACATATTATTTCCTTACAAGTATATATCCTATTTCTACAATATTCAGCATTTGCAGAGAAATATATATTAATTTTAAGGGTAATACTAACTTATGTCTTAGGAAAACATGTTAAGAAACCTATAAATAAAAAATTTGTACTGAAAAAAGGATTAAATATATTCAATTGAATTTTCATGTTCTTTTTGTTTGATAAACTAGAAACGATATCAATTGAATTGTGATTACTTATACTGGCATTTGCAATTCCATATCTCTAGTGAACATATTTATCTCTTAAAAAAACATTAAAAATTTTATTTTTATTTTTTAATAATATCAAGACACAATTTCAAAAATAAATTTACTATGTTTAATTTTTAGCATGTGTTTATAGTAAACATGTTAGCAAGATAATGTTATGGTTTCACAACATATCCATAACTATTTTATATGTTATATATTCCTTCCGTCTTATATTATAAATAAATTTCATTTTTAAATTTATTAATAATTAATATTAAATATATTAATTATTCAATAAATCTAAAATAGAGAAATTTAGTAATAGAATAGTACATATCAAATTCAACAATGATATTATTTTTTCATTCAACAATGATATTTAAACCATTCTTTATTTTTTAACATACACAACAAACGATTGAATACAAAAAGTAAACACAGTAAAAATTTCTCTTGCTTTTTATTATACATATGGCAAACTGTGTGCAATAAGAAAAAGAGTTGACTCAATCATGGAGTTTTCTAATGCTTCAATATAGCAATCATTGACAACACAATTGACACTCCGATCATAGCAATAGAATTTATAGCATATCCGGCCGCTCCGGCATCGGGACCTGGCGCCGTAACCGGGGAGAGGCCAAGGTCTTGGGCCGAGGTTACGGCGGCTAAGGCGGCTAAGACGAAAAAGAGTTTCAATGTGATAGATGATGAAGATGATGCCATTGTAAAAATAAAGTGAATTTTGAAGAACTGTTTGTGATGATACCCGGGAAGAGAGTTGGAGTATTTATAGAAAAACTGAGCTGGTGAAGGTATGTGGGTCCCACTGACACGTGGACAAATTGAAACCGTTAGATGTTTGGTTATGTTCAACAACCAATTAGGAAGATGTAATTTTTTGTTTGAAGATTTTCACTGGTCAACAGAACGGTTTGTGTTTTCATTGCCTTGGACTTTGGCAATTCTATTTAACACTTCATATATAATATGTAAGATTATTTTTAAATCACACGTTTGATAACACTTGATATTTTTAGAGAAAAAACATAATTATTTCTTTATTTAAAAAAAAACTTACATAAGAGAAAAAAATATTTATTCATATAAACAAAATCAATATAAATGAAATGAAATGTTGTTATACATTTTCCATTAGTACTATTATTATTTTCTGTTTGGGATGTAACCCATTCTTCTCTAGTCCATTAGTCATGTTAGTATATATAATTATAGTAATTTTTATCATATCAATAATAATTAAATCTTATCATCACTAATAGAGACACAACTACATGACATAGATCCATCATGAAATGTGTAACATGAAAATTACATAAAGTTGGTATGTACATATCGATTTTCAACTGATCCTACTTTATTTCAGTGAGATCATTCAATAAATTTATCGTACAAAGTGTCAACAACTGAATATTAAACTTTATTAATTAGAAAAACTATTCAAAATCACAGTATGCATGCATAATACCAAAACACAGAACATAAAATTCACAAATGATTAACTCCAACTAAAACAAAGACTCATCTAACGATAAAACACTCATGCGAGCAGTGTGCTCATGAAAGACCTTGGGTGGAGGATCTTTTGTAAGAGGATCTGCTATCATGGAGTTTGTCCCCAAGTGCTCTATGGAAATATATCCACTTTGTACCATTTTCTTAACAACTAGGAACTTGATTTCAATATGTTTTGACTTGGTTGAGCTCCTATTATTGTTGGAATATAGGACGGCTAATTTATTGTCACAATATAACTTAAGTGATCTTTCAATTCCTTCTACAATTTGCAGCCTAGTGACAAGATTCCTCAGTCAAATCCCATGGTTGGATGCCTCATAACATGCTATATTGCTGTCAGGGTGGATGAAGCCGTAAGAGTTTGATTGACATTGCGCCAATAAACTGCACCATTAGCCAACATATAAATATAGCCTTAAGTGGAACTTTTACTATCTTGTCATCTAGCAAAATTTGAGTCAGAGTATATTGTAACTCTAACTGGTCTGACATTGTATATGTGAGCATATAGTCTTTTGTTCTATTTAAATACCTCATAACCTTTATGGCTGCTTTCCAATGATCTATTCCTGAATTGCTCAAATATCTGCCTAACATCTCAATTATGAACGCAATATTCAGACGCATACATACTTGGGCATACATCAGACTCCCTACAGATGACGCATAAGGAATCTTTTACATTTCTTGAATTTCTAAGTTTCCTTTAGAGCACTAATTAAGACTAAATTTTTATCCATTAGCGATTGGAGTATCCCCTGAGTTACATTCCTGCACGCCAAATCTTTTAAGTACCTTTTCGATATAACTCGTTTGTGATAATCCTAGAATACCACGAGATCGATCTCGATGTATCTGAATTCCTAATATAAAGTAGGCATCAACAAGATCTTTCATTTCGAAATTTCTTGATAGAAATTTCTTAGTTTCGTGCATCATTTCTATATCATTTATGGCAAGCAGTATATAATCAACATACAAGACCATGAAAATGTACTTTCTCCCACCAAATTTGTGATACACATAATCTTCAACAACATTCACCTAAAAACAAAATAAGAGAATTACTTCATGAAACTTGTGGTACCACTGGCAAGACGCCTGCTTTAGTCCATAAATGAATTTTGTCAATTTGCAAACCATATTCTTTGAGTCTCCCGATACAAATTTTTATGGTTGCACCATATAAATTGGTTACATCAATGTTTCCATTGAAGAATGCCCTCTTGACATCTATTTGATAGAGTTCCAAATCAATATGTGCAACAAGAGCCATGATTATCCTAAAAGAGTTTCTCAATGAAACCAGAGATAAAGTCTCTTTAAAGTCAATCCCTTCCTTTTGGGTATAGCCCTTAGCCATAATACGAGCCTTATACCTCTCTACACTACCGTTAGAATTCCGTTTGGTCTTAAAAATCCATTTTCAACCAATGGATTTCACACCTTCTGATAATGGGACGAGTTCCAAAACTTTATTGTCTTGCATGTACTTATACTCCTCCCTCATTGATTCAATCCACTTTTATAAGTTGGAATCCTGTATGGCTTGGCAAAAGTTGATTGGATCATCTTCCATCATACCATTATTTTTCCTCATGTTCTTGGAGAAATACTATTTAATCATCTAGAATAACATTTCTCATTTCTCTAGTGGATCCCCGCAAATGTATTGGTTCTTGTAATACTTGTTCTTAAGAATTTTGAGTTTGTTCTTCTTAAATTACCAAATCATCTTGAGTAAGAGGAAAGTCGATAATGTCTTATGAAGATTCCATACTTGCTTGATCAAAAGCAACTATATGAATTGGTTCTGGAGTTGTTATCGATTCTTCCTATGAAATAAAGTTTCTAACCATATTCTTCCCCCCAAACTCAATATTCTCAAAGAATGTGGTTGTTCTCGTCTCAAAGATTGATTTTAGTTCGGGATCATAAAATTTGTAGCTCTTAGATCTTTCAGAATTGCCAATAAAGTATATGCTCACTGTCCAGGTGTTCAATTTCTTTTCATATGTCCTATAAGGCTTTGCCTCATCTGGACATCCCCACACATGAAAATGTTTTAGATTAGGATTTCGCCCAATCCAAAGCCCGTAAGGTGTTTTGGAAGCTGCCTTTGTTGGTACTCTATTTAGTATGTAAGCTGCAGTCTTTAATGTCTCTCTCTAGAGTGACACTGGAAAGGTAGAATGACAAATCACACTGCTTACTATATCCTTAAGAGTCTTGTTTCGTCTTTCAGCAACACTGTTCATGCTAGGCTTTCCTGGCATGGTGTATTGTGGGACGATTCCATATTCCTCTTGGTATTTGGCAAAAGGCCTTATACATTGTTCACATGAACTGTCATATCTATCATAATTATATACCGCTACAGTCAGATTTGACTTTCTTAATTATTTTGTCGAGTTGATTCTCAACTTCGGCCTTAAATGATTTGAACAAATTCAATGATTTAGACTTTTCATGTATAAGAAATATGTATGTATATCTTGAATAATCGTCTATGAATGATATAAATATTGTTGACCACCTCAAGAAGGTATTGGAAATGGTTCATAAATGTCTGTATGTATCAATTCTAAGACATATGTACCTCTATGTGCACCAAATTTTTTTTGTTTTGATTTGTTTATCTTTAACACATTCAACACAAACATCAAAGTTTGTGAAGTCAATGGAGTCCAAAATTCCATATGACATTATTCGCTCAACTATATTTTTAGAGATGTAACCTAGGCGTTTGTGTCACAATGCTCTTGAACTGTTATCATCAATTTTACGCTTAGTACCACGTGATTCTACATTCAAGGATTCGCCATAGGTAGCTATCGTGTCAAGCAAATATAGATTATTATGACCCATAAGTGAACAAGTTCCAACAATATTTGAATTGAAAGACAACTTGAACATATTGTTTCCAAATGAACAAAAGTAACCTGGTTTGTCTAAATAGGAAATTGAAAATAAATTTCGTCTAAATGACGGAACTAAAAAAGTGTCTTTTAAATCCAAATAAAATCTGGTACATAACAATAATCTAAAATGCCCTATAGCTTCTACCTCCACCAATTTTCCATATCCCACATAGATATATCTTTCAACATCATTTGGATTTTGGTAGTTCAGAAAACCCTTCACTGAAACACTGATGTTAGTAGTTGCTCCAGAGTCTAACCACCAAGTATTTACATGTACTGAAGATAGATTGACTTCAGAATATATCAAACCATGACTCATGCGATTAAAGTGATCTCACTTCTCATAATCTTTCCTATGTTCACATGTACTAGATTCTGAATGAGAAGGTGATTGCACCATCCTTAATGCAAGGTCAAAATTCATGCAGCTAAGAACAATTTCCATGTTCTCATTCCATTCCTTAAAAATTGTCCCATTAAGGACTTGAACCTTATTCATATTTGCAGATATTGAAGCTGGAAAAAAAATACTAACATAAAAAAAATTGAACTTGATGAATCACCGTAACTATCGACACATGGATAAAGAAGACAACATTATACATGCTTGTTTGCTCTAATACGAGACCTATACCATGCCAAGACATGATATTGTGATATTCGTGTCTAGTTTATACTTACCTTAATTTATAACATCTAATCAAAAGTATATAACAAATTATTAGTTATATGAATTCCTAATTCAAAATTTAAGACAACGACACGACATAAATTATCTTTTTTTCAGACGGAAACTAATATATATTCAACATCCAAAACATACAAAAAAAACTTGAATAAATAAGACTGAAAACATGATTTACATCATAGAAAATTAATCCTTACATAAATTAGAAGATCAAAAGAGATCCAGATTTTAGAAAATAAGGGTTAAAAAAAATACCAAAATCAAATTGAATTGGATATGGGTGGTCCTGATACCACTTGTTAGATTTGTTCATAATCTTATAATTTCTATCAATATAGAAATCAAGAAAAAAACTCTAAACTAATCCTGATGAGTCAAATATGCGATCAACTCATATCTCTTATGCTCATACCTGAATACAATTATAAGAATGAAAGCGTACATGAGTTGGCCATTAGGAATCACTGAAGGTTGTGGGTACACTACTATGGAAAACACATACAATAACGATTGTAAAACACATATAATGACATAAGCGTGTCTATTGTTAGGTAGCATATAATTGTATGTAGGTT